CTGCAGGGATCAGTACTTGGTCCACTGCTTTTTAACTTGTTCATTAATGATTTGGAGTTGGGAGTAAGCAGTGAAGTGGCTAAATTTGCGGATGATACAAAGTTGTTCAGGGTGGTGAAAACCAGGGAGGATTGTGAGGCACTCCAAAGGGATCTGTCAAGGATGGGCGAGTGGGCGTCAACATGGCAAATGGGGTTCAATGTGGCCAAGTGCAAGGTGATGCACATTGGAGCCAAAAATCCTAAATATAAATACACATTGATGGGGTCTGAACTGGTAGAGACTGGGGAGAGGGAGAAAAAAATCTTTTTGTCAACTCTCTCCATTCCAAGAATAATTTTATAAACATCTATCATGTCCTCCTTTAGTTGTCTCTTCTAAACTGTAAAGTCCCAGAAACTTGTTCTCCAACCCCCTAATAATCTTGGTTGCCCTCCTCTGTACTTGTTCCAGCTTTGCAATGTCCTTTGTTCCTTTTGGAGATATGGTGACCAGAACTGTACACAGTATTGCAAATGAGGCCACACCATAGATCTATACAGGGGCATTACGATATCATCCGTTTTATTCTCAATCCCTTTCCTAATCCCTAACATAGAGTTTGCCTTTTTCATCGATACAGCACACTGGGTTGACACTTTTGTGGGCACTCAATTAAATTGCTGAGTGGTCGGGTTAGAACGGATAAAAGGAAGTACTTCTTCACCCAAAGAGTGATTAACACATGGAATTCACTGCCACAGGAAGTGGTGGCGGCTACAAGCATGGACGGCTTCGAAAGGGAATTAGATAAGCATATGGAGCAGAGGTCCATCAGTGGCTATTAGCCACAAGGTATAGATAGGGACTCTGGGGCAAATGATGCTCTGTCATCTTGGTGCTTGGGGGGGTCAACAGTGGGAGGGCTTCTAATGTCCTGGCCCCACTGGTGGACCTCCTGATGGCACTGGTATTTCTGGCCACTGTGTGATACAGAATGTTGGACTGGATGGGCCTTTGGCCAGATCCAACATTGGCATCTCTTATGTTCTTATGTTCTTATGACGATGTCCACAAATTGAGTTAGTGGGTGACAATGTGGCAAATGAAGATCAGTGTTGGTAAGTGTCAGGTGATGTACAGTGGGGGGGGGGGGGATTCCATCTTCAGGTGTAGGCCAGGGGGCTCTGAATCTGCTGAGAAAGAGAGGGGGAAAAGATCTTGGTGTTGTAATGGACAGCGCAATGAACGTGTCAACCCAGTGTGCTGCAGCGGTGAAAAAAGTAAAACTCTGTGTTAGGGATTATTAGGAAAGGGACCGAAAACAAAGTGGCTGGTAGTATAATACCCCTGTATGGATCCATGGTGTGGCCTCAGTTGGAATACAGTGTACTTTTGGTCACCTTATCTCAAAAAGGACATCGCAGAGCTGGAAAAAGTACAGCAGAGGGCAACCAAGATGATCCGAGGATTGGAGAAGTAGAAGAAGAGATTGGATTTATACCCCGCCCTTCACTACCCAAAGGTGTCTCAGGGTGGCTTACAAACTCCTTTCCCTTCCCCTCCCCACAACAGACACCCTGTGAGGTAGAAGAAGAAAAGAAGAAGAGACTGGATTTATACACCCGCCCTTCACTACCCAAGGGAGTCTCAGAGCGGCTTACAAACTCCTTTCCCTTCCCCTCCCCACAACAGACACCCTGTGAGGTAGAAAAAGAAGAAGAGATTGGATTTATACCCCGCCCTTCACTACCCAAAGGTGTCTCAGAGTGGCTTACAAACTCCTTTCCCTTCCCCTCCCCACAACAGACACCCTGGGAGGTAGGTGGGGCTGGGAGAGCTCTTGCCAGAAACTGCTCTTTTTCCAAGAACAGCTCTTATGAGAACTACAGCTTGCCCAAGGTCATCCAGCAGGTGCAAGTGGAGGAGTGGGGAATCAAACCCGGTTCTCCCAGATTAGAGTCCGCACACTTTAACCACGACACCAAACTGGCTCCTTCCCTATGAGGAAGCCCTGAGGAGTCTGGGGCTTTTCAGTTTAGCAAAGAGACAATTAAGGGGGGACACACGACACACACAATAGAGGTTTATAAAATGATGCATGGGGTGGAGACAGTTTACAAAGATAAATTCTTCTCCCTCTCTCAAAATACTAGAACTTGAGGGCATCCAGTGAAGCTCATGGGCAGTAGATTCAGGACACACGAAAGGAAACATTTCTTTACACAGAGAGTGATTGAAATGTGGAATTCGCTGCCAGAAGTTGTAGCCATGGCCATAGGAATGGACAGTTTTACAAGGGGTTTAGACAGATTCATGGAGGAAAGGTCTATCAGCGGCTACTAGCCACGGTGACTGAGGGGAACCTCCACATTCAGAGGCATCCCAGTTCCAGAGGGCAACATCACCGGAAGGTCTCAGCCTCTATGCCCTGTTGTTTGCCCTCCAGAGGAACTATTTGGCCACTGGGTGAGGCAGGATGCTGGACTAGACGGACCTTCATTGGTCTGATCGTCTTATGTTCTTCTGTTCCTGTGTGCTTAAGGACATGCAGTAAAGCCTGACAACTGAGAAATTAGGTTGGGGCCCCTTCCAGAGTCTTTCTGAGGGCCTCTCATCCCCATCTTGGCCTCAGGTCAGGACACCCTCTCTGGCTTGGGTGATGAGGGCCACAATACTGGCCTCAGTTGCCTCTGGAGCCAGACAGGTGGATTGGGTCAGTCTACCCACCCATTCTCTAAGCATCACCTTCACTGCCATCCCAGTGCTGGAGACCCCCAGCGAAAGGCAAGTAGCTGGGCACGCATCAAAACAACGTTTTGCTGTTCAATAGTTCAATTCCTGCATCAAACCAGTGGAGGCGGTTTGCACCTTTGCCACCCGTGGAAGATCCTTACCCAGAGAGGCCACAGTCCCGTAGTTCTCCAGCATGACTTCCCTGTGGAGAGCTCTTTGGTCCGGATCCAGCAGGGCCCACTCTGCCTTGGTGAAATCCACGGCCACCTCCTCAAAGGAAATGGGACACTGGAAGGAAAAGAAGATCCCCTCGTCAGAGATCAGGCCAGGCAGAGAACGCACACGGGAAGGGAGGCGTCTGGGAGGGTTACAGGAAGGCTTGGCAGGGGTGAAGGGAGCGGCCTTTAGAACCTCTGTCGCTCAGGCACCTTAGCGGCAACTGCAGGAGCAAAAAAACCCCCTGAGAAAAAGTCGTCTCCCCTACCTGGAGTGCAGGTCCCGCAGCCATTTCCACATCTCTACAAAATGGATGGCTCAGCACCGTTTCTCCACCGCCTGAGAGAGAAAGAGACAAAGGAGGAAGGAAGGGTGTCCGCCTAGAAACTCCCTAACAGTGTTCCCTCTAAGCTGAGTTAGTGTGAGCTAGCTCACAGTTTTGTAGCCTCCAGCTCACACATTTTTGTCTTCGCTCAGGAAGGGATAGCTCCAGAGCAAACTAATTTATGCAACAGCCAAACGGCTCGCTCACAACTTTAATGCCAGTAGCTCATGAAGGAGAGTTTTTGCTCACGAGACTCCACAGCTTAGAGGGAGCATCGGTTGTCATATTTCAAGACAAAGTAGAAGAAGAGGAGTTTGGATTTCTACCCCGCCCTTCACTACCCAAAGGTGTCTCAGAGCGGCTCCTTTCCCTTCCCCTCCCCACCACAGAAACCCTGTGAGGTAGGTGGGGCTGAGAGAGCTCTTGACAGAAACTGCTCTTTTTCAAGGACAGCTGTGCCAGAGTTATGGCTTGCCCAAGGTCATCCAGCCAGGTGCAAGTGGAGGAGTGGGGAATCAAACCCAGTTCTCCCAGATTAGAGTCCACGCACTTAACCACTACACCAAACAGCAAGAGCCACCCCACCCCTGAAGTTCTGATATGTTTTCTAAGGCTTGGTGCAGAGTGATGGTCTGAGGCCAGGTCTACCAATATAGTGGAAAGGGGTGAGTAGACCTGATCTCCAGAGGCCAGCTCTACCAATATAGTGGCAAGGGGTGGGTAGACCTGATCTCCAGAGGCCAGGTCTACCAATATAGTGGAAAGGGGTGGGTGAAATTTGACTTGATTCTGTTTTCTCTTATAGTGTTTGAAATTATTCTTAAAATATAATTTAAATATAATTTTAAATAATTCATTCTGAGAGTTTTACAAGTTCATGGAAGTAACCTTCTAAAAAACTATTTTATGCGATGTCAAATGTAGACTCGCTCACAAGTTTAACGCTACTAGCTTTTTTTGCTCACGAGATAAGAATTTCTGCTCACAACTTCTGCAATTTCTGCTTAGAGGGAACATTGCTCCCTAGATCATCGGCTTGTCCCAATCCTCCACCCTCTTCACACACACCCTATTACAGGATGGTGAAACCTTGCCCTACAAAAGGTGGCCGCGCAGCAAATCGTGGGAAACTGGGCAGTACAACTGGGGGAAACGGAAGACAGAGGGCGGAACAACTGCTTTTGCGGAATCGGTCACAGTGTGTGGAAAGTGGCATCCAATCACAGCTGACTCACAGTGACCCCAGAGTTATTCAAGGCAAGAGACGTTCAGGGAGGGTGTGCCATTGCCTGCCTCTGCAGAACAACCCTGGACTTCTCTGGTGGTCTCCCATCCAAATATGAACCACAACTGACTCTGCTTAGCTTCTGAGATCCGATAAGAGTGGGCTAGTCTTGATCACCCAAGTCAGGAGAACAGGGAGGTTCCACTTATTTACTGTGGGTAACAGCTGCACCTAAATTTGTCTTCCTTTTCTTATTTGAGTCACCTTCAGTCCTTCTGATAGAAGGAAACTGAGATACTAAGATTTTAATCCATGTAAATAAGATTGGAATGGCCTTCCATGAATCTGTGTACTCCTCCCTTCAAGTGAGTGGCCGTCCCTATACCCTGTGGCACTAAGTCCCAGAAGTCCACTCTGCGTAGTGAGCAGAAGGACATCCTTTTCCTCCTGCCCCAAACCTTCCACCCAACAAACTGACCAGGTGCCCTGACTCCATCTGTGCAGGAGGCACCGTCTTACCACTTGACCGGGCATCTTGGGCACGCTCCTGGGCCTGCGCCCTCTGACTTTCCTCCGACGAAGCTCCTCCTGCCTCAGAGAACTTCACCACCCTCTTCACAGATGGTCCCCACACCTGAAAAAACACCAAGGGACACAGGTCAGGGAAGGAATCGAACAGGCTGAGGGGACAAATCCTGCCCCGTTTGCAGACTCCTCAACTGTGCACTGACCAGCAGTGCTGCTTCAAACTTAGGGGCAAGAATCAGGGTTGGGTTTTCTTCCCAGCCTAGTGAATTCTCTCCAGGTAGAAATATCTGGCAGGGAAGCCTTAGGATAACGCCATTGCTTCAACTGAGCGAAGGAAACCCCCCTCACCTGCTCTGCCTGCCTCTTCTCCTCTGCCTGACTCAGGAGGAAGCCTTCGGCCAGGGCCACCGCCTGGGAACTGGTCTCCGGCACGCACCCTCTGACCCAGCCCTGCATTTCCTGGGGCAGGAGAGTCAGGAACTGCTCCAGGATCACCAGGTCCAGCATCTGCTTCTTGGTGTGCCTCTCCGGCTTCAGCCACTGGCTGCAAAGTCCATGGAGCTGGCTGCAAACCTCTCGGGGCCCGTCGGCCTCATGGTAGCGGAACTGCCGGAAGCGCCGGCAATGGACATCTGAGGTCACGGTGTCCTTAGCCGGGATCTCCGGCACGGCTCTTTCCCAGGATTCAACCCCACTCCCTGCTCGGGTGGGATGGGGACCGTTGCTTGATCTATGGTCACTTCCGGGGCCTTCCCGGTCCTCCTCTTCCATCTCCTTCCCCTTCTCTTGGGTCGCCTCAGATTCTGGGAAGACGGCCTTTCCCACGGTGGCTGTGAAGAGGGAAAGGAAAAGTTATCAGAAAGGAAGAAAGGAACCAGAGGAGAATGGAGCTGAATCACCAGCCCTGGTCAAGGGACCCCCCCAAAAAAAGAGTTGTCCTGGTGGATCAGAAGGAGCGTCCTTGTTGTAGTTTGTGGGTCAGCTGCTTTGCTAGGTTAGGTGTCAGGGTTTTTTAAAAAAGATATGCTTGTTTGGTCTTTCAGGGAAAAAACACATATCTGTTTGGACCTTTAAAAACCTGCTGCAGATGGTATGGTATGATCTTTCCCTGAGATGACTGTGTGTTAGTCTGTCCTGGGGGCTGACTCCACCTGCAAACCGGAGGGGGGGGGCAAAGGGACTGGTCAGGGCTCGACCCCTGCAGCTCCCTCCTCCTCCATCAGTGTTTGGGAAGAGCTCCGACCGCAGCTAGCAGAGGGGAAGGGGTGGCCAGGGCAGGGGGGGGGCTGCCGGGATGAATGGAAGCAGGGTGGGGGCAGGGAACACCCAGGGAGACGGAAGAGTGGGGGGGGGGACACACACTGGCTAAAATGCCTGGCAGGCAAAGAAGAAGAGAAGAGAGAAGAGATTGGATTTATACCCCACCCTTCACTACCCAAAGGTGTCTCAGAGTGACTTACAAACCCCTTTCCCTTCCCCTCCCCACAACAGGCACTCTGTGAGGTAGGTGGGGCTGGGAGAGCGCTGACAGAAACTGCTCTTTTTCAAGGACAGCTCTTGTCAGAACTACGGCTTGCCCAAGGTCATCCAGCCAGGTGCAAGTGGAGGAGTGGGGAATCAAACCCGGTTCTCCCAGATTAGAGTCCCTGCACTTAACCACGACACCAAACAGATTGGATTTATACCCCGCCCTTCACTACCCAAAGGAGTCTCAGAGCGGCTTTCCAACTCCTTTCCCTTCCCCTCCCCAGAACAGGCACCCTGTGAGGTAGGTGGGGCTGGGAGAGCTCTTCACAGAAACTGCTCTTTTTCAAGAACAGCTCTGACAGAACCCAGCAGGTGCAAGGGGAGGAGCGGGGAA